CTAATGGATGGGTTCCTTTCAGCCTTCAAAACGAACTTAAATGAGCTGATTTTGTGGCTTTCAAATTAGTTAAACTGAACAACTTTGAGCTTTACCATTTCGATCACAGCTGAACTCAGCAGAATCGGGTAATACCCCGGTGTCATGTGCAGGAAGATACTGGCTGTAGTCGCTCACAATTGTTGGAGGTTAACCGGTTTACGTTAATTAACATCTACCGCAACACCAACCATCTCGTAAGATTTCTGTTTCTGTCTTTGGTTAATGACTTGTGCTTGATTTATATAAGATCTGTTTGTATGTTAAATATTATACTTGTGTTTACAAATGAATTGTGTATCTCACATCACATCAGTATTTTTCTTAGCCTATCTCCCCTATGATTGGGTGCACTATGAATCGTTTGCTTCCAATTGAATGCACCTAACAGAACAGTGATGTGGATGATGCCTTCAAATGGCCTGTTGTAATTAAGTGCCTTGGAACAAAGATTGAGTTTGCTGATGGTTGGGATGACTTTTCGAGGGAAAAATCAGTTAAACAATATCACATCCTCCTGTTCCAACTTCTTTTTTCGGGTAAAACTGTAATTATTGTAAGAACTTTTAGCACTCACAATATTAGAATCGACGTGCCCAAATAGGTTCATTGTATACCATTTTGACCTTTCATGTGCTCGGAGATACCTTAGATCTGTTTTGGGAACTTGCAATGAAGATGATGAGGGATTGGATGAGATGGATGAAGAAGCTCTTGTTGGTGGGTTCTGTATCCAAGCTTCCATGACTCTAGTTACTCGCGGCTGACAGCTAACAAATATGTACTTCAAAATATCTAATTTTTATTATTCTATCCTTCAAATTCTTGGATGTATTATTTGTAATGATATTGTTGAATTAGAACTAATGCAATTTTTTAATTAAATCATTATCAAACGGACAATTCCATCTACATTTTGGTATCAAGAGTTGATGGGGAAATACGATGAAGTTGAATATGTTCGTATTCGGTGTGGGGACAAGCAATGGATCATCGAGTTGAAGAAAGAAGGGATCAAACACCTCTTCAAAGGGCTGAAGGCTTTCATCCAAAATGCTCAGATAGTTCAAGGAAGAACTATCACTTTTAGGAAAGTAGAACTTGAGGGCGATGACTTGGTTTTCGATGTGGATTTTTAAACAATGTCAATTGATTTTGTAGGTTGTGGTGGAGGTGGATATGGATGGTTGAACATAATACCTTCATTTTGTTTTTCTTTTTTTCATTTTGTACCTTGCATTGCAGTTTATATAAGGTTAAATGGGGGTTGGATGTCATCTTTTAGCTTGCACTATAGTTTATATAAGGTTCAATTGGGGCTATATGTCATCCGGTTATGCTAGTTTTTGTTTCAAATTCTTGGTGCATGTTTCTCCTTTCTTTGATGGTAGTTTATGTTATTTGCTTGTTGTCATCTACTTATGAAAATATACGGTTTTGATTCTTTTAAATGTGAACTTGTTTACAATTTTGTAGACTTTTGGTATGTTGCATTAGTCTAAATTGTAATTTAGGGTTAGCAAGTGACATGTACAGCAATTACACACAAAAAAAAAAAGTGTCTTGAAGCCTCTGTAGATCACTATGATTTAAATGTGCGACAAATCCATACTACAATACATTTGTGCCACNTCGAAAAAAAAAAAATCATAAAGTACAAGGACAATGGCCAGGAACACCTGTACAACAGATCAATTAGTGAATTGCAAATTAGTGTTTTGTTATAGCACCGGTTGTGTTGCTTCTTCATCTAACAAGAAACAAGGTACTTGTAATTTGCCTCAAGTTGTAATTTGCCTCAAGTCTTCAAGGGACTTCTATGGTATCAAATCTATTTACAAGTTTACAAACAACATTTAATCACAATAGATTAAATTATCATGTCACCCTAAACAGCCCACAGGTTGCCCACACTTTACAGTACAGAAAGGAGTACAACATATTAGAAATATGAGCATTAAGGTCACCCATAATTGCACAAACTGAAGAAGGAAAGTACGAGATTTGACTGAGTTCAACAAAGGCACTAGCTCTTTGTCATCCACACACACTGCAATGAACTTACACTTGTGCTTGTAGGCTTCATCAAGTGCTCTTCTAACAACAAACAAGCGTCCAGTTTGAGATTCCTCTAACTCTGACTTCACATGAATCCATCTATGAATCTTCACTCCATCCTCAGTTGCCACTCCTCGAATCAATGCATTTCCAATAGAGGGCCATGATGCACTTACTTTAAAACACTTAAGTCCAACCTCCTGGGAAAATTGATCATCTGTGTACTCTGGGGTGAGGCATTTCAACAAGCATATAATGTGCTACTTAAGGATAGAACATAAACAACATTCAATCCTCATTCATCAAATCTACCTACTCTAATATGAAATGAAAATAAATAAATCATCTTAAAAGTTCCAAATGCTAACATAATAACACGAATTCAATTGCAGAAGGCCAACGACCTGGAATATTTAAAAAAAAAATAAAGAAATAACACAACAGTACAAAATCAGGGAGACGAGCGACAAATAAATCTAAATATTAATCTGTGAAGAACAAACAATATTCGAAATCCAAGGGTTGTTAAGAAATATTTTTCTATAAATAATAGTGGGGTTTGATTCCGTTCACCATTCGATTTGGGAAAAGGTTACCTGAACGGAGTGCTCATAAGAGAAGGGTAATTAGGTAAGGGTAGAAGTGAGGGATGCGAAGTTCTCGCCGGTGGAATAGAAGGCATACGCGACGGCGCGATGATGCTAAGATGATGATGAATGAAGAACGATGGATGAACAAAAATCTACGGATAAAAAAAAATAAAAATAAGATGAACATGATCGTAATATACAAATCATTAGGATTAGATATTGTGTTTTTTATATATGTAGGACTGCTATATAATTAAGATAAAGATATGGGTTTCAAAATAAATATAAACATTATTTTATAAGTTATTTATATTTTAAATAATAGTAAGGGTAAAATAGGTTTTTAGCTTGTACAAGTATACAAACCCATGTACAAAGCAAAAATCTTTCTTTTTCTCATTGTACATGGTTTGTACATGAAACCAATGGTTGATATTAAATCTTGAGTCAATCTAATGGTAAAATAGGGGGCTACCTGATGTCAGGTATGTACAGGATTACCTGACCCTAGACTGTCTCATCTATCTAATCTAAGATTAGGCCTAGTTTACTTAAGTTGATAGGATTGAACACATTAATTCCATCAACTTTACACGTCAGCTTTTGTATTATGTTTACAAAACATGATACATTTTAAGGCAAATTCAATCAAGCATTTACTAAATATGAAAAAATTCTATGATACAAATAAAATGACAAATATACCCTTCTTCTACTACACAAAATATTTCACATTTTCGACCGTAGCCTAACCATTCAATACAATTTCAGAAAATGCACCTGAAATCCCAACCCTAAATTCGACCCCTTTCAACAAATGCACCAGTTGTAAAAGAAATTGATCAAAGCGAATATTCAGATCATGCTTGTTTACCAAATAATTTATTCACATTTAATTCATATTTAAAATCAACCCACTTTAACTCAGCTCAACCCTAAATTCGACCCCTTTCAACAGACGCACCAGTTGTAAAGGAAATTGATCAAAGCGAATATTCAGATCATGCTTGTTTACCAAATAATTTATTCACATTTAATTCATACTTAAAATCTAACCTACTTTAACTCAGCCCCAACCCTAAATTCGACCCCTTTCAACAGACGCACCAGTTGTAAAGGAAATTGATCAAAGCGAATATTCAGATTATGCTTGTTTACCAAATAATCTATTCACATTTAATTCATACTTAAAATCTAACCCAACTTTAACTCAGCCCCACTATCTTTAATATACTCATATGATTAAATAATACAAACCAATCATTCTTATTCATCACATTAACTTTAATTCACTATTCATCAACTCACATAATTTCAACCACCTATCATTTTCAATCATTTATCTCCTACTTTTACAACAAATCAATATTAATCATTTTATTTTAATACATTATTAAAATCTCACTAACAACTAATCATACTTTCTTTTTTAAAATTAACTCTAGTTAACCAAAATAACTCATTTTGAATGGATTATTTGATAAACAAGCATGTCAGCCATTTAATTACTTATATAATAATCTTCAAATATTCATATTTGTATTTGTTTAATTTAGATTTTAGCTTGTAATTCATATTTGGTTAATTTAAGATGATTTAGGGCGTGTTTGTTCATAAGGTTTCTAATTTCATACTCAAAATCTAACTCAACTTTAATCACCTCACTATCCTCAATATTATCAATATAATTAAATAATACAACCAATAGTTTTTTTACACAACATATCATCTTTAATTCACTATGTATCTGCTCACATAATTTTAACTCATAATTACTTCACATCATCACTCATACTTTTACATAAATATTATTTTAATATAATCCCAAAGTTACACAAACAACTAACCATATAATTTTTCTCAAAATTAACTCTAAATAACAAAAACTCTTTTTGAACGAATATATTTGTATCCAAGCAAACCCTAAATATGTTCAACTCAATTTAGAATTCATTTCACAAAACTTATTTATAACACGAATATATATTTATATTATATATTCTATTAACAGAATTTATATATTTATATGATATACTAAATTTTATATAGTTATTATTAACGAATAAAATATTTAATAATTTCAAATCGAGTACATAAAAATCTAGATTCAGATAAATATTAAATACCAAATCATATTCTTATTCGAATTTCGAATGGCGAGTAAAAATATGATGATCTGCTTTCTTCCAATTATTATCAACTCAATTATTACCTCCTTGGATTCGGGGAAAAAGCTTCATAAGAAAATCAGAGAGAAAAAGAAGCTCAGAACATAAGATCTACCTTTGATAGCTACAGCTATATTCAGAGATGAAACTGAAACAGAATAATATAAATACAAACAAGGTTGCCAAGAAATTAATCTCCAATCTTAGCAGACAGCAGATTGTAATGTAGAGGAGAAACTCATCAGCCTGCAACTTCTGCAAATTTAAGAGGAAGAATCATGGTCCACAAACATGTTGCCCATCTTGGAAAAACAGTTACTCACAAGAAGCTTGTGCCCAGAGTGAGGTCGTTCAAGTTGGAGATGATCTGCATTCGTGTAGTTCCAATTTGTTGAGCAATATCGAGCTGCTCTTCCAGTGGGAGCATTTCATAGCTGCAAATTCATTGGCAAAAATAAGCGAGAATAGAAATCAAATATACGGAAAATAGAAACACACAAGTCAACGAATATTTGTCGCAGTTAATTTTTGGTAATTAATCTAAACAATTAAGAGCAATATTCGTAGCATCCTCGTATATGAGTGAGAAATCATATCTTTACATAACCATGCTAAACTTTAGGGATAAAACGAGCGAAATGAAGTACATACTGCGAAAGTAGCTCACAGTCCACAATGCTGTCGGGCCCGGGCCTATGGGCTTTCCCATTTGAACGGAAATGGCGAAAGGACCATGGGTTTAGGCCCGCAACATGGGGAACAGCGTCCACAAGCTTCTTCTGCAATGACTGAAGGCGCCGGAAAGTGAGCTCTTCAAGAGGGGCAATGCAACCTATGCTTCCATCTAAGGTTCCAAAAAGCAGACCGAATCGATTTGTTTTATCAGAGCCCGGAGCCATCCGGTCAACGGATGTAGGGAGAAGTTGCAGCCGTAAAAATTTGGTAATGTGGGCCCCAACGTGAAACTCGGCCCGTGATAGTAGCTTCTGTCCTTTCCAGCTTTCAGACATTTTGGGGGCATAGTAAAATATCTGTATGTTGTTGCAAAATGACCATCAAAAGTAGTTTGTGTAGCTTAAATTAAAACTGCATATTGTAATTATACACCACTCTTACAGAGAGAGAGACAGAGAGAATTATCTAAGCTACCACAACTCAATAAGTTTATGTTGTATGACCTTACTACAAAAAAGTCCATCCTCTTTTGAAATTACAAATATGCCCTTGATGTATTAGGGAACTACCCATTCAGCTTTTAATTTTGTTTAACAGATAAATCAAGGGAGTACTTTGTACTGCAGAACTACACATGAAGTATGTTTGTGATTTGAGAAATGCTATAGGTACATAATAGTGTACATAGAGGTGTACATAACACTCACATTAAGTGGGTCTTACCAAAAATAAAAAATCAAGTGAACCCCACCCCATGTGAGTGTTTTTTTTTTATTATTATGTACTTGTAGCATTTTTCTTGTGATTTTATGTGGAATCACTTTGAGGTCAGAATAAACCATGAAAGTGCTTTTGTATATAACTCAAATTAGTAAAATTCAAATCTTTATAGGAAGGATGATATTTAAGCTTGATTTTCCAGAAACACTAAACAAGATATTCTAACTTGAAAAGTTTCACAACATATGCAGAAATGTGCTAACCTGAACATTCTTTTGGTCATCTGAAACAGTGAGACTGAGTGTGCTTCCATCAATCAAAAATTCAGTTGCTAAACAATCAAGTGAGCCGAAATCTTTTGCCAATAAATTAAGCTGAGAGCCTTGCTCCTTCCAACTTAGGAAGTATATGCTTTTGTGAATATCACCAAGAAGAATAAAATTTTTAACCTGGAAAAGCATTATCATCAACACCAGTTCCAACCCAACAGCTTACAAGTTAATAATAACCCAGTAAAGAGGATAATTTATAGTACAACTAAGGATTCCGTAAATCTAATTGAAATAAACTATTAAAATCAGCATCATTTGAATTCATTGATGCTAAGAAAATAAATCTCTCTGAATAGAGATGAAAATCAGAGCTACTGAATGATAACTAGTGACAAGCTTAAATCCAGTAAGAAATTCAACAAATTACACTTATCTGCAAACATAGCTTTTTCCATCTTCTCATAAAACTGAAAAGACGAATAAACACTCAGAAAAAAGTTTAGGTGCGTACAATGTTTAGGCTCACAACATAGAGGGGTGGAACATCATAGAAGGCCACACCATTCAGTTCAGAACCCGTCCACTTGTGCAGAATAATCTTAGGACCTGAAGCTATTAACAAATGCCCTTGGAGTGAAGCAACAGCAGATATAGCACCTTTCAACTCTTTGGAATAGACTTCTGTAACCTAGAAGGACCAGGATAAAGTTCAAGTATTCATGCATTTGCAGGATATTAAAATACGAAGTGAGATAAAACAGGATATGCGACATTCCAGACAATTGAAGCCTCCGAGAAGGACTTGCAAAAGTGGCATGAAATGAAAGGGAGAGAAAAGAAAGGCCCAAGCTAAACAATAAGCTACCTGGACTTGCACATTGTCAGAATTCCTTTCAACAGAATACAAAAGCACACGTCCTCTGGCCGCAACATCCTCTCCTTGTACATAAGCAGTTCCAACTGCCAATAGTGTCTCATTTCTTTGCGTTGTGGTGTTCTGAAAGTATACAGAAAATAACAACAGCACGAGAGTTACTCCACATATAAAGTTTCAAGAATTTCTGGAAAGAAAATACTGCCACAAGCAAAACTGCCGACATAGTAAGGGAAAAAGGAAAATATACTTTTAAGGCGAAATGATGCAGCTAATGACTTACAAATAAAGTAACCGCTCGAACGGTAAGAGCGTTTTCAGAACTTTGCATTGCGATTGTAGCCCTAGTTTCCCAGGAACCAGCTGTTTTTTCTGGTTCCATAATTCGGATCTCATATTCATCCATTGGATAGGTCCCTTCCAAACCCAAATTATCGTGCTCAAATTGATTTCCACCTTCTTGATCGATAAGAGATGATAGGACTTGATTAAGTGGCTTGAGAACCTAAATCAAAATATGAGGAACATAATGATTACTTAACATTCATGTAATTGCCATTCTGCTCGTACCAAGAATTAAGATGGAGAAAGAAAACTTGATGATTGTTAAAGTCCATGAAAACGGACATTAACTAAATCTTGTTAGGATTCTCGTGAAGCAACATAAAAGGGAATGAAGAACTAGTCACAGCTA